TAATAAACTTTCATCTTTGTAGCAGAGATTTTATAGTGCAATTAAATGCATAATGCGTTAGTACGAGTGTGCTGGAATCTATTTTCTTGCATTGATAAACGAACTCAAAACTGTAGTCCTGGCTCATTTTGTGGATGGTGGGGGCAGCTGGGAGTCCTACCTCTCCCCACTGGAACTTACGACAAGCTTTGAGAAGGGAATGGAATGCATTTTTTTAAATTTGCATATTTAAAATTGGGATCTAAAAAACAAATGGTAAACCAAGTGACTGTGTGACTCAAAAGTTAAAGCATTCAATCAAAAAGAACTGGCTTTGAATCCCAAAGCTATAATGTACTGTGGGTATGCTGGGGAACATTACTTAAACTTTCCCGGTTTTCTCACCTGAAAAGGAGTTTTAAAGAAGTACTGATAAGAATAATAGGCAGACATCTATGAATAGTTTAGCATGGAGAGTCTCACTGCTAGCACAATCCATACCTTTGGGCAAATTAGGAAAAGATGCTCTCCTGGTGATATAGGCTATTCCCCTAGAAAAAGTTGTGTTTTCCTCTAGGTGGCCTCAGTTCCAGGCACAGGGCCTGCACACTGAGCTCCCTCGCAGCTTCTTGGCATGAACTCCCTGTGCATGACCCAGTCTGCACAAATCTGTTCAAACCCCTTCACCCTCCAACAGTCCTGTGCTGTAGGTCACATCATGTAGCTCCCATCCTATTTTAAAAAGTTAGGCAGTTTGCCAGATTCATATAATAAGTGAATAAGTCAGGGTTTAGAAGCAGGCAGTCTCTCTAGCCCCACAGTCCATGCCTTTACCCAGATGTCTATGCTGCCTCCGTAGACAAATGTAGTATTTTTTCTAAAGCAAAATATTTCATGAAATAGAGATTGATGGATATATACATTATTCATGTTTTCTATCTTATAATTATTAGCATTGATCTGTTACTGATTAGCATCGCTGATATGTGGAAGGGCTTGTGCATTGAGAGTTTGTTTTTCTAAGCAGATTGTGGATTTTCTATTACTGAACATTTAGACACAAGATTAATATTGCAACATCTATCTCAGATCCTCAAACCATACCTAGCCTTAAGTATTTTTTTCATCTAGCCCTTTCATTTTCTAAATAAAGCAAAGCCCAAAGAATTTTTCCCAATTACCAGGAGTGCAACTGGAGTCAAGTTGTCAGACCTGTTATATTACCAGTAATATGTTACAAGAGTGAAAGAAACAATCTCGCCTGCCAATTGTGTACATCCATCCACCTGTATGCCAAGTGCCCAGCACAGAAATCTGTTACAAAAGTGAAAATTGTTAGTGAGAACATCAGCTGGATTTCCACTCTGGACCCCTTAATACAATACCATCTCTTTTTTAACATTAATGTAATAGATATTGACAGCCTCAGGAAAAGGAGTTCTAAAAACAAAACTATAAAATGATGAAAAATAGCAGTTAAGGAGTAATGGCTATGATAGATGTGTAATTTATTAAATGACTAGTAATAAGATTAATTTGTCCCTTTCCTGCCCAAGAGATACTTAAGGTAATTGCATCTTTGAAAATTGCACTGTCATCACTTTATGCTTTTGATGATGTCATGGAATAGTACCACAAGGATGGGATATGCTCAGCAGATTTTTTTCTATCTCCCTTGGTATTACAATAATCTCTAGGCTACTGGTCACCACACATGGATTTGCATAATTCTGTGGCATCTGCACAAGAAAAGAGATGTGTCTAAATCTCCCAGTCTTCTAAATAAAATGCAGGCCAATTTGAATGAGTTCAAATTAATACATATTAAAGATTTCTGCAGAAATTTGGAGGGACCATGAAATACACTTAATGCCCTTTTGCTGCCTAACAGGTTGTGAATCACTGCTGTGTACACTAAAAAGAAAAAGCAAGACTAAAAAGCATCACACACACAATTACTTCAAAACACTTCAAACGTTTAAAAATACCCACATGCTCTTCAGACCTTAGAAACCTGAATTTTGAACACTTTTTTTTTAAGATTTATTTATTTATTTAAGAGAGGGAATGGGGGGCGGGGAGAGCAGAGGGAGAGAATCTCAAGCAGGCTCCCCGCCCAGCATGCAGTCTGGCATGGGGTTTGATCCCATGACCCTGAGAAACCTGAGCTGAAACCAAGTTGGAGGCCTAACCAGCTGAGCCACCCAGGCACCCCTGAACCCTTCTTTTTCATACATATCCATGTCCCCATAAGTAAAATCCTCTTATTTTTGTCCTAAAGATGTCATTATCTACCAGTCAAGTCACAGAATTAAATGATTGTACTCCCCACAAATATTCTCTACATATCTGTGTTCAGCAACAAATCGGTACAAATCTAAAATCCTAAAAGTACTTCCCAACTTTGACTCATAAATTCATTACTCTTTCATTACTGTAATTCATTAAATTACACTCATGGTTATATATTTTATTACATATTCATGCATCAAAATAAGCATGACCACTAACCTGTAAAACTACTTTCCTATTACTGCTAGATGTTATTCACTCTTATGGGGCAGATTATGATGAAGTTTGAAAGGTTATTTCTTGTTAAAATATTTTTATTTCATTTACAAATAATGCTATCAGCTTTTAAAACAGTGAAGTATTTAAAAGCACTGGAAAGTATCTTACTGAATATTTTAAAGTACCAAAATGAAGAAAATTTCTATAAAGGATTATTTTGTGAGTTCCTGTCTTTTTTCTGGGGAAAGTATTTATTTTGGTACACTACATAGAAATTACAAAGAGCTGTACGGATATTTAACAAAAACAGAAAATGCATTCCATATGTTATAAGTATGTTCCTAATAACAGCCCCAAAGAGCTTGTTTCATTTGATAGACACTCGAGTAGAATTTTGGTCCCCAGTGGCAGGTAAAAGTTGATGCACCACTCAGAACTTAATACTGGATCAGGCAGACATTAGACCTAGTACTTCCAACATGTCATGTTTTAGACCATCTGTACTCATGCTATTGTGGCTAAAATATATTTTTTAAATTGTCTTCAAAGCATAAAGTCACAAACTTATAAGGGTCAAATTTTAATGTGAATTTTTATGGCCAAAGGCAATTAAATTATTCATAAGAAAAACATAACTAATTGTTTTGATATCAAGTAAACATCATCATTTATGCTAAATCAAATAGATCATGTTCAATTAATTAGAAATTTTCCAGATGTCACCTACAAGATGCCTATAAATACTTCACAGGAAAACACAAAAGATTTGCAACAATTTTTGCAATAATGGAACACAAAATAAACTTTTCATCAACACTATTTTAAGTTGTTTTTACTTTATATATTTTTTCTTCTCCCTTGCAAAGTTTATAGCATACAAACAAGAATATACCAAAAGGATACTATTTAAGGCAATGAAATGTTTCTATGTGTTTAAAACACACCATATGCTAAAAGCCTGATCTCTGCTGCTCATTCATTTGTAAGAGTAATTCTCATAGACACAAAGGCAGTCAAATATGCAGTTTACACATTCAGATCTATATAGTGAACTTTTTCTTCAAAGATAAATTAGGGGGAAAGAGATCTAATGTATGGCTCCTGTAACATCCTTACTTGGTACTGTAAAGTTTTCATTTTATCAATATAAAGAGACTGATTTTCTCTCCCTGCCTCCCAAATGTAAGCAGCATGCATGTCCAAATAACAGTTCACAGTGTATTTAATTCCAGTATCTCCAGAGGGCCAAAAAAGTCAGCGGTGAGTGATTGATAACTAGACACTGAAGAATTATATTCTTAAGATGTAGGAGATCACATATTGCTGAGGGGGAGATCAGCAACAATTAAGCTTAATATGCCAGTTTCTAAAGGTCTGGCTTCACTACCGATTAAGTTGATGTCATCTGTCATCTATTCCTACCTTTAGTGACACCTGTTATACAGATGAACAGAATGTGAAAAGGATTTTGCGCTTTTTACATTAAAAAAAAAGTCCACACTTAAAACACAATCCCACATACATTCAACAAATATTTATTGCAACACTTTAATTAGCATTGCAAGAAATTACAATAGGGATAGTTATGCTCAATTTTCATGTAAGGCACTATTCATTCATCCTAAGTTTTTGAGAATCTTCCTGTTTTTTTTTTTAAGAGACCTTCCCAAAAAGTAAGGAGGGTGAATGCGATATAAATTGCTCAACAATAGAACAGTGCAAGTGGAAGAAAAAGAAAAATCAGAGCGAATGCTTGGAAGCTTGCCAATTCCGATCCATTTTCCTTGCACTGACTCGACCCACCTAATTGGGCACCTACTGTGTGCACGAACCTGTTTTCATTACCATGTACACCCCAGCCCAACTCGACCGGTCTTCCTTTTCTGAAAAGTCCCCAACTTGGAATAAGGTGGGCAAAGGAAAGGTGTCTACACACAATGACCAATAAGTCCCCTGTTCTTTGTCAGTCCTCCCTGAGAACAAAGGCTGCATACATGCCCAGGAGACTGTGAGCGACCCACAGCGAGCAGGTCTGGCCTCGGAAACCATCCGAGTGAACACGGTGCGGGGACTGAAGTCAAGCCAATCCAACAGGGGGTGGCATTTCTGTGGTTCTTATGGCTTTGGGTTTCCTCTGCCCGCTCCATGGTACCCCACCCCTTTGCAGGTGCCAAGCCCTGCCCTGTGGCCAACTCCCTTACAAAGAAAGTGAAAATTACTCTTGGAAAACGCTGTAACAGAGCTCGCTTCGCGGCTACTGAACCAGGCACTTCCAAAAAATTTAAACTTTTCTCTGCGCGTGTTTTTTGGGGGCGGGGAAGAAAGCAAACCGCAATCTATTCCCCTTCCCCGCCATGCCCCCGGCTCCTCCCCGCCCCCTACCCCGCACAGGTTTCCCACCTCCCGGAGAGCCTTGACCCCAGAACAGGCGGCCCCGCACCGCCCTCGTCCGCGCACCCCGCGGTGCCCTCTCCTGGCTCGTCCGCTTGTCAGGCAGCCCCCTGACTCACCGCTGACCACCCGGCGGCAGAAAACTCCGTGGCCGCAGAGCAGCGCGGCTCCCAGCAGCAGTGAGACCACGCGGCTCATCGTGGCGCGGCCACAGCAGCAGGTGTGCGTGGAGCGAAGAAGACCTCTGCCCGCCGCGCAGGCGGAGCTCTAACCCTTGAGCCTCCCTGCCTCCCTGCCTCCCCGCAGGACCCTACTCCCGCCCGAGCCCAGCTGGCCGACCCCCTGCACTCATCGCCTTTGGCCGGGCCTGGGGCCGGGCGCGCCCTTGCTGCGCGCGGGTGTGCTAGGCTAGAGTGCACCACCCGGCTGGTGCGCGTTGAAGGAGAGGAAAGAAGTTAGAGGGCCCCGTGTCTGCCCGGGGGGTGAAGCAGGAGCCCCGGGTTGGACCCCACCCGACCCCTTTGCTCCTCTCCAGGGCCTCTGGCTAGCGAGGGGCTGAGACCCTGTGCCTAGTCCCGGCTCTCAAGGCGGTGGCAGCAACAACAGCAGCTCTGTGCTAAAAGCGCGCACTTATATACCCGCATCCCGAGGTTCCGGCCCCTCGCTAGCGATAATTTTTAACTACTTCATCTCTCCCGCTATGCGGAGCATTCCGGCCCCTCCCCTAAAAACTGGAGCCGCTTTGAAAAGAGTGCAGTCAGCAGCCCCACCTCCTCCCCTCCGCTTCTCCTGGCCCCTTCTCCTTTGGCTAACAGACCCGATACTCACTTGTGTAAAATGTGACAGCTTTGCTATTAAACTCTGGCAAAAGTTGGATCCATTTGGTTTTCTCAAAGATTAATGTCCACGGGGATGCCAAGTTGTGGGGCCTCTTTTTCTGCTAAATTGCTTGATCATATGTATTGCTAGATGCAGGGCACTAGCCACTATTCAAGATGGATTGGCGAAGTGGGAGCCAAAATCTGCTCAGTGAATTATATGATGTGGCAGGTTTTTCCCCACCTAGGTTCTGCAAATAGATTACTTCCAAGCAGGTTGTTTGACTAAATTGCCACAGGAGCAAATTGAAGAGAAAATTTGAAGCACGGTTTTCCCAGCTGATTTCAATCTCAGAATGCAGCTCCGGAGAAAACCATCAACACAAATATTCTGAATGCTTGGGAATTTCCTGGATGTAAATGTATATATTTCTTTGCAATCATCTATGTGTGATCTATAGTTTCTATTAGAAATAAAGCATCCCAAAAGCTACAAAGACAATTTTCCATAACTTGACTTGGTTTTTATTATATCAGTCCCTCCAAGGGTGTTAGAGTTTAATCTGGAGTATTGGAAAGAAGTTCATAAGAGTTTCATCTGGTCCCTGATAGGACATACTTATAATGAGTTTCAATAGAATTGGTATTTTCCCATTGTGATGCTTTAAATGTACCAGGAGTTGTTAAATAAAATCCTTTGATTTTAATGAGTGGTACATTTTCCTATAACACCTCCCTGTCTTTGGTTTTTACAAGCCACAAGTATACTCTGAACATTTATTGGACTGTTTCCTTGGAAAAAAAAAAAGAAGGTAAATCCTGCTACAGGAAGAACAAGTCTTGCAGAATAAGAATTCGAGCACTTAGAAAGACCTGAAGGATTATGAAGTCCAGCCTACTTAGGGAAGTAGAATTCCACAATAACTATAATGATGTCTACCACTTTATTTTTTCTTCTATTACCATTGAATTACTAATTTATTGCAGGGCCAGGGGCAGTTAATTTCATAGAGGGTCTGTAGTCTGTGAGATTCACCACTAGCTATGTGTCCTAAAGAAACAGTCACTGCTGGGTTTTTGAATGGGAGTGGAAAATATAAATCCTCAAAGCAATGAAGGTATCTATATAGCTCAGCCCTGAAAACCATGTCCAAGTGTCACTGGGTGTGGCTGTGGTCAGAGTGTTGCTCCAGAGCTTCACAGTCCAGTGTGGAGAAAGAAATGTAATACTGACTACGCATATAAATGTTATAGTGGAAGTCAGCATGCAGTGTCATGGTTAGCACAGAGGAATGAGGAATTACATATTTTTGTAGGAATTCTCTAGCCTTTGTCCAGGTTGAGGATGATGATCCTCAATGGCTGATTAACTGAGTGCTCCAAATGCCTGCAGAATCTGGATTCTTAATGGGAGTTCCTTTCTCTTTCCGAGCCATCCTCTTCCCAGATATACATGGGCCCATAGCTGTCATGAAAAGTTCCCTTTTCGGGAAGGAATACCAGTGGATTACAATCTAAGCCCTGGGTGTAATTTCCTGCTTATTAGTACACCCCAATATCCCAAATGGCTCAGATGCCTAAAAAGCCAGCCAGTCCTCGAAGCCACTATTGGCAAAGGGGAGCTCATTAATTTTTTTAAGAAATGACTTTGTTTTTCCCTGCGAGTATGTATAAGGTATCATAAAAGACAAGTGACTCTCTTATAGAAAACATATTTCTGTTCCAGAAATTTAAGAACTGCTTTCAAATCAATCAGGAGATAAGAGTTCCCTCAAGGGCAACCAAGAGAACTGAGGGTTATATGAGGAATGTTTGCACATGTATAGAGTTTGGCCTCCAGATTCCTGAAAACAAGGTGGGATAAGACCACATGACCAGCAGTCAGGAGAGAGGGCTGTTGCAAGCTAAGATTCTCTGCCCAATTAAAAAAAAAAAAAAAATCAAACAAGAACTTCAAACTAATGAAGCTAAAAAGCTCAACACTGACTCAACAACCTAAAATGTAACTCTTCTCTACCCAAAATAGAAAGGTAATCTCAGTAAGAGTGGTCCCAAAGAAATCTCAGGCATGATTCAACCACTGAGTCTCCAGAGGTTCTGAAACATCAATTAAGCAAGAATATTTGGAATCCAAAGTTTTGAAAAGTGACATCAGGCCCCTTAATAGTGTGCTATGGAATCTGTCCCAAATATACAACTTACTCCTTCACTGTCTCTATTCCCTTGCAAATGTCTGCAGTCCCCCGTAAGCACCTGTTTCTTATGTCCATTAATAAGCCTCAAGGACAGACAGTCTGAATTCCAGGCACCAATGTGCATTCATAGGCTTCTTACTGGGTCAGCTCTATACAGTGGCTTTAGCCTCAGGCACAGCAGGGTTCATTCATATGAGTTCCGGAGCAAAAAGTGACAAATAGGGTTGTCTTAGTGCAGGCTCTTATAATAAAGTATCATAGACCAGGTGACTTACCAACAGTAGCACTTTATTTCTTAACAGTTCTTGAGGCTGGAAATCAGAGATTGGGGTACCAGCACGGGAGGATTCCAGGGAGGGCCCTCTTCTGGGTTGCAAACTGCCAACTTCTGGTTAGATACTTACATGATGAAAAGGGAAATACAGAGCTCTCTGGGGTCACGGTCCCATTTATGAGGGCTCCACCCTCATGACTTAATTGCCTCCCAAAGACCCCACCTCCCAATACCATCACACATTGGGGGCTAGGATTTCAACATATGAATTGAGGGGGGACACAAACATTCAGTCCATTGCAATGATCTACAAAGGAGATTTGTTACAATGTTTAAAATTATTATATTTGAAATATTATTGAAATCCAATATTAACTAATTTATTCATTCTATTACACTTTATTTAATGATGGTTAATAAGTCTCTTGCACACTATCCACAATATTGCCAGACTGTCATAAAACAAATATTTGGAAGTGAAATAATAAGACTCTTACAATATAACCATTTTAGCAGTAGGCAAAAACAGTTTATTTTTTCTAAATTAACAGTGAGTTGTCATTTCCAGGAAGAGAGCATTGAATCTAAAGCTTATCCTCCCTATTCTTCAGAAATGACACCTTGACATCTGTGCACATGTGTAACTGGCTCAAATGCAAGAATGAGCAGTTGGACAAATTCCCCCCGTGATTTATTTTTTCTTTTCAAAACATATCTGTGCTGTAGAATGCATGACCCACCTCAGTCAAGAGCCAGTTTGACTTTTCTTTATAATTCCAGTAGAAGTCTTTAGCCTTGACAGGGTTATCTAAGAAAGTGTCAATGTTCATAATGCTGTTAGAAATTTAATAAAGAATTGTAAATGCTACAAAAACATGCTTTCCTATCACTCAAAGCTTAAATTTAGGAACCACCGAGTCTGTTACATGCTCTGACCATGCAGGTGAGGAGTTAAAAATATCTGTAAAATTCAATTACTGGAAGTATATCTGATCGGATTTGAAAAATCATATGAATTTACGTGAATGTCTAACTAAATATCAACTCCATAAGTTAAAATTTCATTTTAATGCCTCTGTATTAATTTAAAGCAATTCAACTGGGTACCACTGCTATCAATCTAGCATGAACCAATACTTCTTGATCTTGACTAAATTACTGAATCTGGCCTTAATATACATTAACACAACTATACAAAAGTGAGATAATTAAACCCAAAAAAGGATAAGCTAAGGTCATCCTTACTTCAAGTGTCAGGCCTGAATTATCTAGGTACTTAGTTGACAAACTACCCATTGAGTATTGTGATATGGAAAAACTGCTTAGCTAGCAGAATCCAAATCAAAATTTTCAGTTAATATAATTTTGGGCAAGTTTCTTCATATATATTTTTTTTTTTTTAGTTTTCACTTTTAAAATGTAAAAAGAATGAGTTGGAGAAGTTCATGCTTCCTGACCGGATGGCATTCTGCTCCAGAAATACTGTTATTTCACAAATTTTTCAAATCTTAATCTTCATGTGGACTAAATTATCTCCAGCCAAAATAAGTATTATCTGCATAAATGCACTAATTTTTCAAATGTATATGGATAAAAATTGAATTTTTAAATGTCACTAAATTCCTAAAACTTTTGTCCACATATTTATTAATATTTGTTGGAAGAACAGTTGTTATTATGTGGGGTCCTAGAAAAATATGCATGTTAAAATAGGGCTTCATACTCAAAGAAGTTGGAAATCACTAAGCTATATTATTTCTAAAGTCCTTTTCAGCTTTATATAAAGTTCTATCACTTTAAAATTAAGAAAGACTAACAGTTTGGGGTGCCCGGGTGGCTCAGTCATTTAAGAGTCTGCCTTTGGCTCAGGTCATGATCTCAGGGACCTAAGATCAATCCCCATGTCGGGCT